AACAATAAACAACTTTTTAGAACAATATAAAACTGATTTAAAACATTGTGTTTTAAAATACTTGCCATCCTTACATAAAACGTATTGAAAAAAAAAAATAATCATTCTGGTGGTTTCATAAATTCGATAGCCCGATTGCTCTGGGTATTTAGAGTAATTGTCTCTTCAATAGTTTGAGAAGATGATGGTTTTCTAGACCTCAAATTATATCTTGTTTGAGGGACTAAAGCTTCTTCATCATTATCATCTATATACTCAATGTTTTGAACTTCAATCGATCTTTTTTTTCGAGTGGGTAAAATAGAGTCACGTTTGCGTTTACTCTTCGAAGCTGGTTTTTGATCATATACTGTAACATCGTCATCATCTAGTGTTATAATTTCAGGCCTAACAGGCTCCTATTTATTCAAAAAAAAAATAAAAAAAATTCTCATTCATTCTCAAATAAACTTAGACATCAGATAATTTTAGGTTTACCTCTTTTTTTCCGAAAGACATTCTCCCCGCAAATGTCGGATTTATACAAGAGAAATAACTTGGGCAATATTTGATATTTATTTTACTTTAATGCAAATTTAATTATGTAAAGGGAAGGATAAATTTTTAAATTAAAAAATTGGTTTTTTAGAATGATGAAATAATAACTTTTAAACATACGGCTTTCCAATTTCAACATCGTCATAGTTTAACCACCATTGAGATTCACCATTAATTGCTAAATGTCTAGCATTTTCTTCAGCAATACGAAGCTTTTGTTGCGTTCGTTGCATAAACTAAAATATTTACCATATTCGCCTTCAGTATATCCGCCCCAACAAAAACCAAAAAAAAAAAAAGTATAAATTTTAACCTTTAATTCCAATAGATGATCGGACAGCTTAGGCTTTTTTATCAGGCGTTCGGTCTCCATCGCGATTTTAAAAATTGTAAAAATGTGAAAAAAAAAAAATGTGAAAAATGTATTTATATTGTTTTTACTAATTTACCCCCAGACTAAAATTTTGCAAGGAATTTTTTTTATTAGTGCACAAAAGATGGTTTCTTAGGCGAAATTTTGAGATTAATGTGATTTTTCAAAAATCAAGTGATTGTTTTTAATTTTCACGTTACACCTGATCCTGTCCTCTGATTGGCCAGAATCGTGAAACCTGGGTAAAATTAGTAAATGCATTTATATTAAGTTAAAATCACGCGCAAAAATATCAATATGGTCAAAAATATCGATATACCTGATTGGCCAATCAGAATGCAAAATCATGCGCAAAAATGTCTAGATCACGTGACCGTAGATCACTTCCGACCCAATCAGACTCATCGACCAATTATTAAAAATCACGATTATTGATCGTAATTAATGAATTAGCCAGGGCGACCCCAAAAGTCCGGGTCAGATGATCCGCGCCACAGCCACCGCAGCCCGGGCATGATCACGTGCGAGGTTGTGATTGGCCGACATCGAATCATACGATCTCGATCCTCACGATTACAACATTACCGTTACGTTCCCCTCTAATAATTATAGATCAAATTCGAAATACTTGTTTTCTTATAGACGTTATTAATATTTACAAAAAGAAAATTGCTCATTGTGGTATGAATTGTATGCTTATATATCTTCGTCTTATCACGAATCTAATCTTTGTTAACGTTTACTCAAAGATCTCTAGTTTAAAATGGTAATACAATCATGAATTGTAAATAGTTCAAATTGACAAGTATTTTATAAACAAGTGACAAGTGAAACACAGTCTCTTTATCAGGCTATTTAAATTACATTTTTATTTGTATTTGATTAGTTTGTTATATAGTTACAAATTATTAATTTTTTAAAATTATTTAACAATCTTCTTACAAAATCACTTATCATCTTCAATAACCATTAAACCTGCTGTATTATCAATCATTGTACTCTCTGTTATCTCTGATTTACAGAGCATGGTAAATACATCAAATATAGCTTTGTAGTAGCCAGATTCCAAGTTATCTGTCAATGTCTTTTTCATTTTACTGATTGTATTTTTTTTTTTATTGGTACTAATTGGCTTCTTTCTATCATACTACGGAGATGATATCAATTATTAGTCGATCATTTAGCATACATCTGCTTCATTGCCTGTTTAATTAAAGATCAAGTTGCTTTAATATAAGAACAAGTATCTTCTTCAGGGTTCTCATCAATATTAACAATTTTTTTAACATTAATATCAACAATTTTTTTAAAAATTTTAATAGAGGGGTAGCAGTCATACATTAGCAAATTTAATAAAGCATAATATTGCACAATAAATTACGCAACATAATATAGCTATAATATTATGCAAAATATTGTGCAATAAAGCGAAATATGCAATTGCGAAATATTAATGTAAGATTATTACGAAATATTACGTAAGATATTGTGTTATATTTCGCAATAATTTGCGCATTATTACAAAAGATATATTTTGCCATAAATTGAATTGGATTAAATAAGCTTGAAATAAATAAAATCATTTAAATATAACTAAAAGTTCATATAATTAAAATATCTAACATTCTATAGATTTCGCACTACTATTTATAAAATAAAATAATTTAATTTGTAAATTTTAAAGTAGTTTGCATTAGTTTAAAATAAATATATATTAATTAAGGTGATTGGATAATTATGAAGAGGATGAAATAATGATAGTTTAAAATAATTTAAAATAATTTGAATTAATTCGATTTATTTAGAAATCAATTTTATATAATATTTAATAAAAATTTCATATATTTTTTTTATTTTAATAAAATCGAAATTATTTTTCTATATTATTTTTAATATATTAAATACATTATTTTATTTGGCTATTTTGGTATATAAAATACTATATTACTTGTTATAAATTTTTTGATTACATCTAAAATAATTTTAATTATCTTAAGTTATTTTAAAATAAATCGATTTAG